TTCCCATTACCGGCAAATACTTAACATAAATTAGTAGCTTGTTGTTAAGTGCCATCAAGTCAGTTCCATCTCACAGTGACCCCCTGTATAGGGTTTCCAAGGAGCGGCTGCTGAGCTTGAACAGCTGACTTTATGGCCTAGTGTTTATCCTACAGCGCCACACCAGGACTCTAAATAAGTAACTTTTGTTGTTAAGTGTTGTCGAGTTGGTTCCACCCCACAGCAACCCTGTATAGGGTTTTCCGAGGAGAGGCTGGTGAGCTTGAACCGCCAACCTTGAGGTTGAAACTGACTCTGCAGTCCAGCGAATTAACCCACAGCACCACACCAGGACTCCAATTAGCAACTAGTCACCCTTAAAATAAACTGGAGTCCCGGTCTGGTACTATAGGATAAGCTCTGCAATGCTAAGCACAAGGTCCATCATTCAAAAGTACCAGCGGCTCCTCAGACACCTTACACAGGGTTGCTGTAACTCAAACTCATTAACCCTTAAGAACCACCACCAAGTAAACTAGTAATTAGTCTATCACGTATTAACATTTCTTACCGTCGCTATGGGTCGGCTCCGACTCGAAGGCACTTAACAACAAACAACAACAACAGGTGACCTGGTGGTTCAGTGGGTTAAGCTACTAACCTCAAGGTCAGTGGTTCAAACTCACCAGCCTCTCCAAAAGAGAACGATGAAGCTCTTATACAGATTTACAGACACAGAAACCCCATGGAGCAGTTCTACTCTGTCCTATAGGCTTAGTAGGAGTGGAAATCCACTCACTGGGGATGGGCTGGGGGTGGGGGCAGACCATTAGTTAGGCTGTAAATGAAACACAGTAGGCATTAATTAACTTTGGTGGCACTGTGGGTTAAGCATTGTACTACTAACAGAAAGCTTGGTGGTAAAAACCCAATAGCCACTCCAAAGGAGAAAGATGAGGCTGTCTGCTCTGGTAAAGATTTAATGTCCCAGAAGTCCTCAGGAGCATTAGGGGTCGCTATGAGTATGTTCTAAGAACCCTTGGTTCACTCCCGCCTCCCACTTACCCACAGCTGGTACAGCCCCCAAGGCAAAAATCACCCAGCCCCTGGAAGAGGAAGGTGACGTGCCATGGAAGTGCTCTGTGGAGCTGAGGAAACACTGAGTAAAGCTCATTACGTTGTGACATGTCTTAATGTTTGGCCTTATTAGCAAAGAGTTCCAAAATGTATAAGAAATGTAATCCTTTTAAACGTAATGCAGCCTACTCTGGAATGTCAACAGACTGCCAGGACCCTCCCTCGGTACCCTAAAACCTATAAATGAGGCTAGATATAGGAATTCTTTGACAAATCCTGACTTCTGAGGCTAGAGGAAACAGTGTTTATTCTGATTTACTTTTAGATACTACTGTTGTTACCTGCTGTCGAGTCAGTTCCAACTCATAGTGACCCTGCAGAGGGTTCTGAGGAACGCCTGGTGGCTTTGCAGTTAGCAGTCCAGTGCTTATCCTATAGTGCCACACCTGGGATATTTTCACCTCTTCTTAAAGTATGATGGTTTAAAGCAATTGCAAAAAAGAAACAAGCAAAACAGGGCAAAGTAAAAATGAATCATACATTTCCTAAACTTTAAATATCTATATTCACGCTCTTTTCTATTTCCTGTGGTCACTTAGACAAGCCTTTGTACTGAATTTGAAATAAGCAGGAAG